CTTCTTATTGCGGCAAATACGTCTCGCTTCCTTCTTCAGTTCCCTATAACGGTCCCACATGGCTCGCGTTGCGCCCGATCGCAGCGTGGCCCTGTAGGCGGCATCTTTTTTCTCTGCAGCTTCTTGACATTCCTCATATTACCAGTTGTTCTTTCGGGCTCGCTGAAATCCAACTACTTCTTCGGCGGCGGTACTTAATGATCGGGAAATGTGGTTCCACTGCTCGCGTATGTCGGATTGTTGAAGAGTGTTCTCAGAGAGCAGGTGTGTGAGTCGAGTGGCGAATAAATTGGCCGTCTGTTGTGATTGCAGCTTTTCGACGTTAAGCTTTCCTTGCATTGTTGGGCGCACATTTTTTGCTGCACAAAGGCGGGTGCGTATCTTGGCTACAACAAGATAGTGGTCCGAGTCGATGTTTGGCCCTCGGAGTGTACGTACGTCCAAAACGCTTGAAGCATGCCTTCCGTCTATCACAACATGATCGATTTGGTTTCTCGTTTTTCGATCTGGAGACAGCCATGTAGCTTGGTGGATGTTCTTATGCTGGAACCTAGTACTACATATTACCATATTTCGGGCCCCGGCGAAGTCGATCAGCCTCAGTCCGTTGTCGGACGTTTCGTCGTGGAGGCTGAATTTTCCGACAGTGGCGCCAAAGATCCCTTCCTTGCCCACCTTGGCATTAAAATCGCCAAGCACGATTTTGACATCGTGTCGGGGGCAGCGCTCATATGTACGTTCCAAGCGCTCATAGAAGAGATCCTTGGACGCCTCATCCTTCTCTTCCGTCGGGGCATGGGCGCAGATGAGCGAGATGTTGAAGAATCTAGCTTTGATGCGGATTGTGGCTAGACGTTCGTCCACCGGGGTGAACGCCAGTACTCGGCGACGGAGTCTCTCTCCTACCACGAATCCAACACCGAATTTGCGCTCCTTTACGTGGCAACTGTAGTAGACGTCGCAAGGCTTCACGCTTACTTTACCTTGCCCCGTCCATCGCATTTCTTGGATGGCGGTGATGTCAGCCTTTGTCTTCCCGAGAACATCAACCAGCCGGGCAGAGGCACCTTCCCCATTAAGGGTCCGGATATTCCAGGTGCATACCCTTAAATCATAGTCCTTTATACGTTTGCCGTGGTCGTCATCAGAAAAAGGGGGTCTCATCCGAGGCTGTTTGGCTTCTTTTCATTGGGCGGGGTTTTAACGTGGCGGGACCCAAACCCAGCGCACGCGAAGATTTACGCCTTCTCACTTTAGCTCGCTCCCAAACGGGTGTTTGGTTGCTACCCAGAGGATACGTGGATATAAATATCCGGACGTTGTCAGCTGCGATTTGAACCGTACGCACAAGAATCGCTTCTGGCCACTCCCAGGTGAATGGCAGTCAAAAGTTTTCCACTTCTGCGCACGGAACCATCCTCCATACATACCTTTTGGTTATTTTGCTTTGCTGCCTGCGCCAGCGTCAAATTCTCTTTTCGTTTCTCATACATTCGTATGAAATTCTTGCATACCTTCCCAGTAGAAATCTTAAGCATACAACATCGCTGTTGGTGGCATGAGCTTGCTGCTGTGTATACATGCCAGTATAAATGAACCTTCATTTCCATTTAACACGCGTGGTTTCTCAGAGCGTATGCGTACCTTAATCATACACTTGTACTACTGCTGTATGCATATGGCTGTATTAATGTTTCAAACATACAAAAATGCATTAATGGAACAGTATTAAAGCATTCTTACAAGATTAGGGCTGCCAGATACCTCTGTTGCCAAACCGGGACACTTTAGGGAGGGCCTCACGCCCTTTCTCTTTCATTTCGACGTGCGAAAGGATGTAGTGAAATTTTATTTTGACAGACAAAAACAAAAACATAAAAACATGAGATCATTCCAACGTACGCCAACAAAAAAAAAACAACTAAAGAACACAGAATTTTCCACAATGCATGAACCTTTCTTTATTCTTTATAAAAATACAGTTTATAATAAATATATGAAAAAACATAAAAATAAAATTGTTTAACTTTGTGCTAAACTCGGGAAAATTCAATAAATTTGCATACAAATTTGCAACATTCTAATCAGACTTTTTTTTTTTAAATTTTAAAATGAACTTTGCTGCCCATTACATTTTTGTTGATTTTTGGTATTGTTTTTACTGAGAGTTTCTTCCATAAAAACTATGGTCGATAATTCTTTTTATATGGAAGACACTGTCAGCAAAAAAAAATAAATGCTAAAAATCAACGAAATTTGCCGGCAACTTCAGACTTGCACTTTATTAATTGGTTCAAAAGCTACATTTTCAAAATGTTTCCTAAAGATCTGATTAGAAATTGTGATCTGATGAAAGAGCCTCTGAGCCAATAATTTTGTACGGCACTGTACTTATAAGTACTCTAGGTTTCATGAAAGAAAAAAATTTACGTACAAGATAACATTAAAATATCAGTCATATTTTTCGTTGCTGTGAACTTGTTTCAAAACTCCTGTCTTTTCCTTAATATAATTGTAAAACTCTGTGCACGTCATTTTGAACGTATTTAGGTACATATACTAATCATCAACTATTGCTTGTGCAAAGTTCAACTATCTCAAAATGTGACTATTTCACAAATTAAACCGGTGCACTGAGAGAAAGAAGTTTAGAATTAAAAAAGCGTGCTAAATTAAAAAAATACGCATATGAAAGACTGGTAATACATTTAAGTATAAAAATTTTAGTATTTAGTATAGAAATATTCAATTCAAAGACGCCCATATTAAAATGAAGCAGTTTGCAATTACTGATTGCTTTTTCATAATTAATTTAAAAAAATATTTAAATTCCATGCTGGTTGTAATGGGAATTGAACCCTAACCCTCTGGAAATTAGCAAATTTTGGCAAGCATCTTCGCGCACTAAGCTACAGCCAGACATATAAATGTGCATTTAAATGTTGAGTTTGAATCAACACCACGCGTGCGTGTTATGAAAGTATTATTTTTAAATACGAACATTTTTAAACGATAATCAAATAGAAAATATTCATGTTTACTATGCGTTATCAAAAACCGGGACACTAAAACGAAACCCGGAACATTTTAAGGATGGACCGGGACACCTGGACAAATAGTCTAAAACCGGGACATGTCCGCGAAAACCGGGACGTCTGGCAGCCATATACAAGATCCCCATATGTAAATGCTACTTTTCTGATACATTTTAATATACGGGGACATACAAACAAGTAGCACTTACATATGCAAATGCATATCTTGTAAAAGCCCGCTTGTGCTGAAAATTGTATCGCACAACACGTCCGTTCACTAAAATTTTTGCACAAGACTGAAAATATTACAAAAATTCGACTTAAAATTTATCAAGAAATGTACTTAAAACAACGACAATGTACATTCGCTTGCAACTCTCGCTAGAATTTGAATATATTTATTCGTGGAAATTCATGACTACGCATGAATTGTTCACACTAATTCACTCATATAGCAAGCATCCTTCAAGAATGCATACAACCGATTTCTACATTTAACATCACTGTTTCTATGCATTGCCAAAACCAATACTTGCGCCGGCATACAAAGCAATAAAATTTTAACCCCTAAACACATGCACTTATAATTTGTTTAGAAGCTCTGGAATTATATTCAGTACATTCGATAAATAGAAGTTTTTCGAATGGTATATGTACATATATTTATGTAAATGTATATA